CTAGCAAGAAGTTGGTACCCTGCCGCTAAAACCTTACGGTCAACATTGGCCAATCAATCGATTATCGATTTTCTTGAGACAGTAACCAATCGATCGACAATACGTCACTAATTCAAATTTCATAAAATTTAAAACAATAGATCACTCGGTTGAAAGCTGTACTTGTTCGTTGAATTTATCAACACGTGATTGAAGGACTAATCGATAAGTAGTTTTTTAGCGGTAAAAAATAAACGAAATTCTTACAATTGCGCCACAACATTCTGCATGACATCGCGTGTCTGATAGAGATGGAAGATCTCGCGCGAATTCGCTCGGGTTGGTCCTTCGCCTGGTAGACGATTTGGATCGGGATGCTCATCATAACCCACGGGAGATAAGGTTGTGCCGCCGCTACCGTAGCCAGGAGATGTGTAGCGCTCACGATATGCTGGCGATTCACTACGATGTCGTTGTCGCTGTGCTCTTTCTCGTTGATGCTCATGTCGTCGTCGATGTGAACTGTGAGATCGTCGTGTAGATCGATATCGCTCAGCTTGAGCTTCAGTGCAAGAATATCGTTGACTTGTGGATGGCTCCACTTGTGATCTATTTCTGGCACGATTCGGTTCCACATAAAGTGGGCTGGCTCGTCCGCGATTGAGATTAGAGTCAGGATAGTTTGTTGGTGGTGGAGGAGGTAAAGTGGTTGGTTTGCGCACTTGCTCGTAGCCGCTGTGTGAGTGTCCGTTCAAAACTGGTGTTTCTCTTGGACGGATACGGTAATCTAAGCTCGTATCAGGTACTGCTGGATGAGAGACTAGTTCACGGTAGGTATTTGTGGGTGCAGGTGGTATCGGACTCTTCGGGAAGGGCGGCCTGAAATCAAAAGTAACTCCGCTAGTTGTTTTACCAAGAGGCACTTTGACAGACGAGATTTGTTTAATAACTTAATTTCCAGAGTTGTTTGAGCGGCGGCATCTCCTCATATCTCATCTATCACTTACAGCATGGGTATAAATTCTACAAACCTGCTAAGGTCCTCCTGCGAACTTGTGATTAGTGGATGAGATACTTGCGTGAATTCTGTTGGAGATTGCACCGAATAAAGAGGTCTACTCGGTGAGGAACGGGGCAAGATCCTTAACACACCTTGGATAGCTCTTCAATTAGGCAGATTACCAAAAATCGATACTTACCGATCATCAAAAGAGTTAACGGTAGGTAACTGATATTGTTGTGATGATGGAGGATGAGGAGTTGTGACAGCATTTGCGAATGGAGAACGTGGGCCCGAATATGGA